TACCGATGATTTTTACTAGATATTTGAATATTTTGTCTTTATTAATAGATTTTATTCATGTTTAACAATTCCTTTTCGAAACTAGTATAAACTATTGCTACATCAGACTATGGTTCTTGAGCTGCTTCAAGTTCCATGTTCCTCTCACTTTCTTTGTCATTAAAAGCTTGATTTCTAATAACTTAGCTTTCATAGGAATAAGAGAAACTTATTATTGGTGGGTTTGTAAAATAATCTAAGCAACCTTTTAGAGTATTCTAAAAATATGTAATAAGTAGATTTTAGGTTTAGAAGCTTTAGTCCAACATAGGCTTCAAATCCACAAAACATTAAGTAAGATAAGGATGGAGCCGTTCCATACAAAATATTATAAAATGCTTAATCTACTTATTAATTGGTGTTTGTATTCAAAGTACAAGTGATAGTGATTAAGTTATAATCCTAAGAGAATGATAAAGGAATATAATTTCCACCAATTAGAAAGTAAATCATATCGAGTAAGGTTTAGATCATCCTTTATTATCATAAAGGCTTTAATACTTCTACTAGTTTGTATCTCAACTTTATATTTGAAAACTTCAACAAATGTTTCACAATTATGTTTTAACATGTAAAATATAACTACAACGATTGTAGTTGTTAATAAAGTTGATTTGGTATCTTGTGTTGAATCTTATACATTCATTAAAAAGGAAGTCATACATCATAGAAGAGTTTTTTAGTTTTCTATAAAATTCTTGTTAATTCAAATAATGTGTTTCACTTTTGCATGTTTTGAACCAACTTCCAGAATATTTAATTATGTTAAAAAGCCCACAATTGGTTGCATTCTTGGTAGTGAATGTTGGAATTAAATATTGTCACGAGTATTGGTTGATTTACCATAGTTGTTTTGGGAATTGCAATTGAGATTGCGGTAATACTACATGAGTACTTAAAAATAGAGATTTTAAGTATTGGAACAACACACACTTAGAGATTACTTCATGGATCAATTCATGAGTAATTCTAAGATGACAATATCTTTTATTTTTCAAACTAGATACATATGGGTTTTGTTTACAAAATTTGTTGTGCAATGGTGTGTTCCAATGTTATCGGTAACTGGTAGTCATAAAGGGTATTTCCATGCATGATTTAATGAGTGGAAAGAAAAACTTAGTTGAAGTTTATTTGTTCCTTCTCATTACTGGGAAGCAATACCTATGGGCCCCTCGATGATTTAGTTTTGACATCTGATGTGTTTGATCGAGCCCTGACTAAATTGATGTTTTCGATTTAATTGTAAGATGTAATTTCAGAGACGTTAATCGGGAAATAGAATGTTGAAAAATGACATTAACTTATATCCATGACTCGTGTTCATAAAGATATCTAGAAAAAATGAAAAAACGGATCACTTGTCTAAGGACTGAATTCTAATCAGAGTTTGGCAGAAGCATAGATGACTACTCTTTGTTAATCCTTAGCGAAATATTTTGATTGCAAAAAGTTGACGACATGTACAAGTGGGAGATTGATGGAAATAATGTCCAAGGTTATTAACGGTTTTGGTAATATTTCTAATAATAGTTGGGTCCTTTTGGGTTGGCCTCATGACCCAAATAGCATAAGGAAAAGGAGATTATGAAAAATCTTTTATGCCCAAGAGTCATTATAAAATGATATTGCTAGTGACATATGATCCTATAGGGTCACACCTTATAGCATGTTACTACTAATTTTTTATTTATGAGTATGATTTGATTATTAATAAACATTATCAACACTTGTATTTAATTGGAAAAATATTATTTTATGAAAATAATATTTTCTAACATATTGAGAATTATTGTCTCTAGGAAATAATAATAAAGAGAACAAAATAGTGAAATATTATATGGCATGATTTTAATGTTGTGCACAAACCTTTTGGACACTTTGAGTAAATACTTGGTTTGTTTCCGGCTAGCTAGTTGTTGGTAAAGTAAAAGAAACTTCAATTTTTGTCTCCCTTGCATTATGGCCGAAAATCCATAGGCATGGTGTGGGATTGCTTTTGATTTGTTTAATACTTTACACCATACTTGTAAGAAAAGCCTTACTCCTTCACTTTATGGTCTTGACTTTGTATACATTGGATGATATATAAAGAGGGACTTTCTAGTGAATTAACTTAGTTTTTTTCTTGCTTTCTTCTCTCAGTTAGAGCTGCCAAAACCATAGCTTTTGGCTTGCTCCTTCCCTTCATTCTTGTAATTTGAAGCAAGATTAAAGGCTTTATGTGTTGCTCTTCTCTTTGAGGTTTATTTTGTATGAACCTTAAGGATTAAGAGCAACATATATGCAAGTGAAGACTAGCATCTTTGGTGGTATTTCCCTGCTTTAGTGAAAACATTATAGATGGCTTCTTCTTGGAGTTATAATATCATCTTCATCAACTTCCTAATTGCCAAAAGGAACCAAAGTCTTTAAAGCTTGTAAACTTCATCTTTCATTTGTTATGTTTTAATATTTCTATGTCTTGAAAAATGCTCATTGGTGGGTTAAAATGATTTTAGTTTATTCAATTATAAAATGTTTATGTTGTTAATTACGTCAATTTTGTCACTAAAAATAGAGTATTTTTAATAAATAAAACAATAGATTAATAATGTGTTAATTTATTAAAGAATTAATAAATTAATTATAAATTATTTTGGTAATTAATTAAAAGTGATTAAATTAATTAAAAGGCTTGAATATTAATTAATTATAAGGATTCATTGGAATATTCTAGAAGCCTTTGGAGAGCATAGGGTGGACGGTTTTCATGTTGGATAGGGGTATGGTTGGTTTGAATCAGATAAGGATAAACCATAGAGTTTTTATCCATAATATGAGATTCTAACAACTACCTATAAATAGAGGTGGCAAAATCCGACACGACACAAAACCCGATACGAAATCGACACGAAATAAACGGGTTTGGGTAAGATATTTCAACCCGTTTAATTAAACGGTTTGACACGACACGACACGAAAAATAAACGGGTAAGGTTAAGGTTGAGAATTTCAACTCGAATATGACTCGAAAATAACCTGTTTATATGTAAGTTTTCTAAATATTTTAAACAAACTAGAAAGACCAAAAACCAAAACAATACGTAAAAGAAAACATTTGGGTTGACTCGTTTTGTAACGTGGAATACACTTAGCCGTCTTAGTCAAGACTTTCATTTTCAGCTTTTTTGTTATCACCCAAATTACATAGTCCCCTCAACCATTCCCTCCTCCTCATGATCCCTCTATTCTCCTTCCAACTATATTCATTCCATTTTGCTTTCTAAACTTACTATAAATTTAGTCATTTGCCTCCCAACTATTACATATCCTTTCCACCTATCCAAATCATATTATTTCAACATGTTTAATTTTTCACCCTCACATGCCACGACACATTTAAGGTATACCCTAACCCGAAACCCGACACAAACTCGACACGAAAATAAACGGGTTGACATGACACGACACGTTAATTAAATGGGTCGGGTTAGGGTCAAGTTGTCTCAACCTGTTTACTGTTTTGATACGACACGAACCCGACACGACACGTTTGCCAGGTCTACTTATAAATAAATTGTTGGTAAACCCTAGAGCTAGTTAATCTTTACTTTTGTCGTTTTTCAAAGTATGTTGCTATAATAGTAAAACATAGTTTCTAGGATGTATGTGCACTTAGGTATATCAATTTTTGATTTTTCTGTTACCTTTAGATAATGTACTTGATGCTATAAATCCGCAACATAATGAGGCTAAGACAAACTCTACAAGTAACCCACATAAGTCCAGAAACCATCAGGTATGGTTTCGTTTGGTCATTTTTGTGATGTTTTATGGTTCTACGAATGTGGTTAATGTATGGTAAAATGACACTTTTATGGTTACACGTAGTCTTCGTTATCTATGTTTAGGTTATTTTGGTCATATTTTGATACCATACATTCATATTTTGTACTTCAATAACAACTACAAGATATAATAGATGCCAAAATAATTTAGACATCATTAACAACATAACTTCATTATACATGTCATCCCAACTTACAACAACCCCCCCCCCCCCCCCCATTTTCTAGTAATACCCAACTTACAACAAAACCCCTCATTTTTCTGCTATTATCCTTGTTCAAAAAAAAACATTTTCTAATTATAACCTCTACGTAGACCATATAAAACAATCATGAACATGAACCAACTTGCAAATAGATAGATTTTCATCTTGAAAGCTTCATCCTTCAATGAATTGCATTGTGCCTCTAACATTGATACTTTTTACCATATTGCACCCACATTGCACCGTGCCTCCAGCATGTTGATACTTCTTACCGGTCCATTGTATCGTGCCTCGAATGCAGTCATACTTCTTAGCAGTCCAGGTATGATGAATTTAGCATACATGGGCAGGTCAACCCACTCGATAACCCACAAACAAATTCCTTCATAAGTCAAACATAAAATCATCTTCTAGGATTCAATGACGTCCATATAATTCACCACTACAAGCTTTCCACAAAAACAAACAACCATTTTGTATGTAAGATCTCAAGAAAAAGAAGAAGAGTGAAGTTAGGGAAGATCATCACCAGTGGAGGATTATATCCACATAGAAAGTTGTTCAAAAGGACCATCCATCCAATTTTTGAAGGGTTTGGACTTTTTCTTGGAAAAATACATACCACAGGGACCATTTTGCAGTTATATATATATATATATATATATATATATATATATATATATATATATATATATATAATAAAGAAAAAGGAAATAAAGAGAAAAAAGCTAAAGAAACTTACTTTTTTCAAAGATTGGATTATGTGAATCTTCAAATAGATAACTACTTAAATGGAATATTAGACAACAAAAGTCAAATTAAACCAAATAACAGACTAATCAAATTTAAAAATCCAATTATTCTTGCTAGACTTCAACTAACATCTCACTAGGAACAAGACTGATCCTTACTGAGAGCATTCAAATAATGATAAAAAAGAAAATCAACATCGAATGCCCCCACTTTCTCTCTCTTACTTTCTTTCTCATCAATTCATCACTCATGGTACGAGTCCTATTCCACTACTAAACTCATGAATCCATTATTGCTTTTCGGGAATGAGGGTGAGAATGTTCTTGATTTCACCTGTTTATCAGAGCAAACACCCTTTTGATTATAGATGTCAAAAGACATCACCATTCCATTAATAGCAAAAACTAATTATAAACTTGGCAAATTTGGAGCTTTTCTTCATCAGTAAACAAATCTGGCCTTTCCACCCCTACTTCTTGCAAGAAGAAGCAATGGGTGGTAGATTAAAAGTATTTATTCCAATTCTTGATTCTGGGGATGATCCAAGATTGAAGCGCTTGTTATGAATGTCATGTTCGTTTTGCTTGTTAATGGGGTTTCAAGTGATTCTCCCGTTGATCACATTCTTGATTTTATTTGTCGGTGGTAATTCTTTGGCTCTTAGATCTGCAGGTAACTTCAAATTTCTTGAAGATATTTTGATTCTTTAACTGTTTTATATGTTAGCCATGGGGATCCATGATTATAATTCTATGTTCTTGATTTTCCTCACATGGGTTTTCTTGAAATTGTGATTTTAGGATCAAATTTGATGGAGAATGCTAAAATTCTTGTTGATTTTCATCTTCTTTGTTGAAATTTATAGTGAAACTCGTTCATTTAACCAAAGTTCTTGATATTCTTATTCTTGATTCGAGGAAAAATGATCCCCTTATTGACATATTACTTTGTGCTTTACATTATTATTATTCCATCTATTCAATGTATTCTAGTCTACATTTTAATTTTATAGTACCTCCGTAAAGATACACACATCGTAACCTTTTGATTGAGATTTAATGTTTTCTAGTCTTGTAGTGATATAGTACAATCGTAAAAAATACACTTTTGACTTTTTTAATTGAGTAATGAGTTGTTTTGACTACAAAATTTGACAATAATGGTGCTTGTTTTGTGAAAATTTATAATCTTTCTTGCAAATTTTATCGGAAAATTTTAGTTTTTAATTATTAAAATCGAAACTATACTTTTTTTTTTGTGGGACGGTGGTGCTGAGTTAGGTATTGTAGTGCTCCGTGAAGTCAATATCACATGATTAGAGATGCATCACTAATATGACTTTTTGGTCAAAAATATTCATAACTCTAATTTGAAATTTGCAATGGTTTCTAATTATTTATTTCTATCTTATTGTTATTTAATATGATTAATTTCCATTTTACATATATTACATTTATTTTCGCTTATTTGAAATACATTCATATCAATTTCAAAACCTAAAAATATCTCATTTGATTTGAAATGTCAAAACCTAAACATTCGGTGGGGTATGAAGTATGAACCACTTCTTGTTACAGATCATGGTGTTCCACCTGCATCAAGTCCCACTAAAATTCATGCAACGAAATGGATGAAACGAGGTTTTAGGCCTTTTTCTAGCACATCTTTCCAGAGATATCATCATGAAAGATCGAAAATTAACCATATTGCCCCTACACCCTTGTACCAACTTCAACCACCAACTTACGCCCCACAAGGTTAGTTTTGTCATTAGAGAATATCCCGAAAACTAGTCATTATGTAAAGATTTCTCATTGAGTTGATGATCATCTTGAACAGGTCCATTTGCTCCTTCACCATCACCCGTTGATCCAACTAACCGATTCGGTAAATTTTCTATAGTTTAATCTTTTTATCATGTCAACAAATGTTTATTCTTGTAAAAATAACTTACAATTTTATTTCGTTTTGGTTTATATTTGTGCATAACAAAACTGTTTGAATGTGTCATTTCAATTTTTCCTTCAAGTCTGGTAGTCTACCATTACAATGTTGTGTTCGTTACTTTCATTTGTAATTCGTTTACATCATAATGAGCAATAGATTAACGTTGTTACATTGGTATTATTATGTTCAAAGGGCCAACGATATCTCCATCAAGCTACTCGTTGACAAAGAATACAGCTCCTCCCCCAACTCCGGTTTTCACGCTACCTCCACCACCTCCCAATGAAGGTAAACCACAGCGCTGTAAACAAATCAAACCTTTGTCTTATCTATTCAAGCTCAATAGAGTTTAACTTTATCGTGTTAATGTAATAAATTGGTTACAAACTATCTATTTTTTTATTTTTTTTTTAAATATATTATCACACACCAGAAATTTTGTTCACAAAATACCCTAAAGGAATTTTGTAAACAAAACGCTTTACTTGTTTTGTATTTTTTGAAAAGTAGTATTTTTCAATATCTCACATAATTCATTACTAGATATTAACCCAATTTTTTTTTGTTTGGAATAAAAAATTTGATTTAAAACATATATGAATAATCAACTATCTACTCTAATAAATGAAAATTCATTTTGTTACATGTCAATCTTTTATAAGTTTTGACACTTGTCATTTTGTGGTATTTTTGAAATAAATAATATCCACATGTCAATTTTTAGGTTTTTTTAATTTTAAAATTAAAAAGTCACATAATACATATAGCTATATAAGTAAAGTATTAAATGTAATAAATATGATCTTAAATTGCAATAAATATGTTTTTTCCTTTCTTATTTTAAAATTTAATTTTAAAAAATACTTAATGTTTACATTTTGATATTTAATTTTTTTTTAATTAACTCATGTAATATATGGGTCTCACATCCTAGTCTCGTGTACATTTATCATTTTGTTATTTATGTTTAAGAAGTCAAAATTATGAACATGACACGGTTAAATTTTACGTGTAGATTGTACAACAGTGACCTGCGTGCAACCGCTGACATACACGCCGGCGGGATCGCCGTGTGCTTGTGTGTGGCCGATCGAAGTTCGACTACGCCTCCTTATTTCTCCATATACATTCTTTCCATTAGTTTCAGAACTCGCTAAAGAAATCTCCACCAGTCTTTCACTCAATGTAAGTCAAGCCCGAATCATGGGAGCCAATGTCGCCGGAGAGCAGCTTGACAAAACCATCGTTCTCGTCAATTTGGTACCTCTGAATCAAAATTTCGATCCCGCCACCGCGTTTTCGATCTACCAAAAGTTCTGGAAGAAACAAGTTTCGATAAACAGAGCTCGATTTGGAGCTTATGAAGTCGTATCCATTAGCTATCCAGGTTTTACGCACTTACTATCTCATCGTCTAAATGAAGAGCTTCAGAAACTTGATTTTGTATTATTTTGATCTGAAATTAGGGCTTCCACCTTCCCCGCCGTCGTTGCCTTCCAATTCCGATGTGACAATCGGCCAATCGGATTCTGTAAACAGTGATAGAGGAAGGCCGTTGAAGCCTATCGGAGTTGACATACCTAGAAACGGGAAGGAGGATAAGAGTAAGCCAAATGGAAGCATTATGGCGGTGGTGATTTTATCATCTGTTACAGCTTTTGTTGTTCTCATCGGAGCCTTGTGGCTTGTCTTGTTGAAATGCGGATGCTGTTTTTCCAATTCCCGAACAGACAAAGACCCTCGTGGACTTACGAAACCATCTGGTAATCCTCAATTCCATTCCTTTCTCTGTTCCATCCCATTCCATTCCATCAAACACTAACTATGAGAAAGAATTGAAACTTTATTACGTACAGGAGAATCGTTGATAGTTGGAAGCAGGAAAAGCTCAACATCAATGTCATTTAGCTCAAGTTTAGCAGCATACACAGGAACAGCGAAGATTTATAGTTTGAGCGAGATGGAGAGGGCTACTGATACCTTTGATTCGAGTAGAATACTTGGAGAAGGTGGTTTTGGAATTGTTTATAGCGGTGTTCTTGAAGATGGGCGGAAAGTTGCAGTGAAGGTTCTTAAGAGAGATGACAGGCAAGGAAGTCGTGAATTTTTAGCCGAAGTGGAGATGCTGAGTCGTCTTCACCATAGAAACTTGGTTAAACTGTTGGGTATTTGTACAGACGACCATTTTCGGTGTCTGGTTTACGAGCTTGTTCCAAATGGAAGTGTAGAATCTCATTTACATGGTGAGTGACAGAGCAACCGACACGATCCCCTCAGATTCGTTGAAAGAAAATGACCATAATTTTTTTTATTATTTAAAATGTTTCCTCAGGTGCGGACAAGATCCCCCCGCTGAATTGGTGTGCTAGAATGAAGATTGCCCTAGGAGCAGCTCGTGGTTTAGCTTACTTGCATGAAGATTCAAGTCCACGTGTCATTCATCGAGATTTCAAATCAAGCAACATTTTGCTCGAAAACGATTTCACCCCTAAAGTTTCGGATTTCGGTTTGGCTAGAACAGCATTGGACGGACATAAGCACATATCAACACATGTCATGGGAACTTTTGGGTACGTCACCTGTCAGCTATCCCATCTTTTATATATGTTGGAGTCTCCTCTCTCTCTCTCCCATGTCTAACATGGTATCAGAGCTAGTGTCTCCTCTATATATATATATATATATATATATATATATATATATATATATATATATATATATATATGTTAGAATCTCACCTCTCTCTTTTTGCTCTACATATCTAACATGGTATCAAAGCTTGGGTCTTTTTATATATATGCTGGAGCCTCACCTCTCTTTTTAACTGTTAACTTTATACAGCTACCTGGCACCGGAATATGCCATGACGGGCCATCTTCTTGTAAAAAGTGATGTTTACAGCTACGGAGTAGTCCTCCTCGAGCTTCTAACAGGGCGAAAGCCAGTGGACCTATTGCAGCCACCCGGTCAAGAAAACCTAGTCACATGGGCTCGACCACTTCTCACAAACAAGGACTCACTCGAATCAATCATTGACCATGACATCATAAACTCAAACACCCCATTCGATAGCATACTCAAAGTAGCAGCCATAGCTTCAATGTGTGTTCAACCAGAAGTATCTCATCGCCCGTTCATGGGCGAAGTTGTTCAAGCATTAAAACTTGTTTGCAATGAGTTTGATGAAATAAGAGAAATGACTCCAAGAAGTAGGAGCCATGGTGAAGAGGTTGATTTTGAAATGATGGATTATTCAGAAGAGACGGGAAGAGAGATGACAAGTGGGTATGAATATGATATGGAGATTGGATTTCAGGGTACGGATTTGAGGGGTGGGAGGATTGAGAATGTGGAGGGGTTGGAGTCTGAATCATTCAGACGTCAGTTTAATTCTGCTCCTTTGAAAATGGAGAGGAAGAAGCAGTTCTGGAGACGATTAAGAGGTTTGTCTAGAGGAAGCATGAGCGAACATGAACATGAACATGAACGTGATCATGTGTTTTCTTCAAATTTGTAAAGATTCAAGGATATAGATTTGATTCAGGGATGTTTGGATGTGGATTTTGGAGATATATAGAATAATCAGAATCAGATAATTAAATGTAATAAAACATGCTGTAAACATTCTGTTTGGATTGGTTATAAGTTGTTTTAAGTATTTGATAAATGTTGATTTTTTAACTAATTAGATAAATTATCAAAAAGATATTCAATTTATTCAAACATTATAAACTTATTACAGCAAGTATTATCCTAACATTCTAATAATCAGTCGCGTAAGTACATCCAAACACATACCTCTATTTTGTAGGTCAACTTCAACCTTATAATAAATATAACTCAATATGAGGGATGTTTTATTGCTAACAGGTTCGAATTGGATAGTGTACAAAAGTTTAGTTAAAAAGATCAAGAAAAATCAACCAAAATGTACACGGTGTTGTCGCATATTGTTTTATATTAACAATACGCTTTTTATATCCATGTGACATGGGGCCTATTTTGTTTTTTGATATCAAGGTTGTGTTTGGCGCGCAGCTAGCTTGTTTTTTGAACTTTTTTAAGTTGTCATGTGTGTCAAACCAAAAAGTAGTTTATAAACTAGCCTTTTAAAAAGCTACTTAGACTAGCTTCTATGAGCTTTTTAAAAAAAATTCAAATACACCCTGAGTTAATTATAGAAATACATTCTTTTAAATGTCGTTTTATATCTTTCAGCTAACTTTTCAGTTAATTTTACCAAACGTTATTTTTTATCAGCTACCAGCTGACTTTTATTTAACATGTAGTTTTTCAGCTATCAGCTAGCTTTTCAACTGACAACTAGCTCTCAGCTAGTACGCCAAACATAAACCAAATGTAAAGTCAAACCGTTAAATGTCAAACCCCTAACAATCATACCACCAAATTCCTTTTTAGACATTTTTATGATTTATTTGTTCAAAAAAATTAAATTTTATCATTTATATGTGAATACCAAATGTAAATCCTTTTTGGGTTCGTCCTAAAATAAATGCAACATTTCTGGTTAGGTTTAAATTTACCTTTTTGCCTATCAGTACTCCTTCCGACCTCTTTTTGTCGAGTCAAAGATCACGTTTATTGCTTTCAATGATCTAACCACTACAGTGGGCATTAATGCCACCGACATATGTTGTTTTAACATTTATTTCTTTCTTTTTTCTAAAAAAAAAAAACTCAAATTTAAAAAGAAAAAAAAAGTTTACAAAGTACAAACTTAAAGCAATTATATTAAACAAAAAAAAGTAAATTCAATTAGGAGGTGTTTGGGATATCTTTTTGTCTTCAAAAGTCCTTTTTGCAAAAGGACTTTTTGTAAAAGGACTTTTTACAAAAGATGTTTTTAATAATGTGTTTGGATTAGGTTTTGAGTAATTTAAGTGGGTTGAAAAGTTACAAAAAGACACGGATACCTACTTTTCAAAATGCTACTTTTCCTTCTTTCTCAAAAGTTGGTTTTAAAAGATCTTTTTTCATTACCAAACATATTTTACCTCATTTTTAACTTTTTGGAAAAGATAGAGGCCAAAAGTTAGTTAAAAAGATAAAACAAACACCCTCTTAACTAACACCCTCTTTAACTACTTCAAAGTAACTTCTAGCTTTTAACTTTATGTTTTCCGTCATTTTACACCCGTAAAAATTTACAATACTTTCACTGCACAAATAAAAACTAAACAGCTCACAACTTTAAGATAATTTTGCCAAACATTCCCCTAATGTTCTGAATATGTCCGAATCAAAAACAGAACTATAAAAAAAATCCATAGCGAAATCAAAACGCAAGCCAACTTAAATCATTAACTTCAAAATTTTATTAGAATAATGCCAATCAAAAACACAAGTTTTTCAAGTTTGAAAAAACTAACAAAACAATTTTTTTGTTAAAAAAAAACAATTCCATACCATATATCTTAAAACGACCAAATCCAACACAACCACATTATACCCCCAACGTATACAACAAGTCACTTACACATCCAAAATCACAAGTTTCTTTCCCCTTGATACAACCAAAATCGGCCAAATCTATGACAAAAAGAACACACACATACAAAAAATATACGCATATCCTATTAAAACTCTATTGCCTTCTCACATGTCACATCTTTTAAAAAAAAAGCCCATGACACGTTTTTTTATCCGCCAAAATAAACAAGTTTTTTTTCATAGATACAGAAAGCGGGTTATTGGGTTTGGGTGAGAAATTGATGTTTATTCATAAATCTTTGTTGTGTGATCTTGATGTAGGGCTAGTGTACTCCATTTCATTTTCATTAGTTACTTCCGATGAAGCAGTTGATGAAAAACCACTTGTACTCCCTTGAATAGTTTGTGGTGTTGGGTTCACGGGCCTTTCCCCTTGTTCTGCTAATTTTCTAAGAAGATTCGTCACTGTTGGAATGAATTTTGTTGATAGTGACAAAATCCCCGGAAGCTGTAACCAAACCAAAAGGGTGTTTTAGGAAATACAATTTTTATAAAATTTAAATGTGTGAGTTTTTGTTTTTTGAAAGTTGAATTGAAAACTCACAGCGCCATTTCGGAATTCACCAGATATGTCTAGTTGGACCCATAAAGCTTTTGCAAGAAGATAGCTTACGAATATAACAAGCAGCCATAAAGGATTCCTAACCAAAAAAATAGAATTTAATATCAGTGGAAGTGACAAGAGAAGAGTGGTTTAATTTGATGAAAAAGACGAAAATAACCTCAAAAGAGTCATGAACTCGTTGAATCCAAGTACCACCATGGCAGCGATAGCCCATGGTGGTGGTAACCAGTTGTTATTGCGTTTATTAGCTTCCTGAAAAAACCATGGCAGACAAAATTACCAATCTACCCTCACAATTCAATCTAAATAAATATAAAAGATTTATAAAAAAAATACCTGGGAAGCAATAGCTTGAGTGATTGTATATTCGGTTTCTTTTTGAAATTGACTCCACAATGATTTGCATTGAACAGGAGTTATGAGTGTTTTTGTAGGTGGAACCTGAATGCAAGCGAATATAAATAAAATGCACAAAAGAAAATAGTAAACAAAATTTTTTCTTATGGGTAGATTTATATAAGTAGAATATTATTATAATAGGAAAAATAAAAATGAAAGAAGAATGGTATATATATAACAAAGAAATTGTACCTCTTCCCATGTGCTTGAGGCCAATGGGTCTGAAAGGGTAGTCTTATTATTAGTGGCTTTTTTGGGATCCACTAATGCAAGGACTAAAGTGTCCCCAATTGTATCATTTTCTTCATCCAAACGAATTGCAGCCAACACAGAGAGCAACTTTAAAGACTGAATGAAACATAAATATAAATAAATTAACAAAAATAAAATAATATATTTAATATGAAATTTAGTTTTAATGAAATGATTCTTACAGAAGAGCGAGCCATTTTAGTTATTGCTCGAATATCTTCCTTTCCAGTCCAAACTCGTGGCATTGAATCATTATCATGGTTGAAAATCGATGTAAATCTGTAGAATGTTTTTGGAAGGAAAGGAATTTGTTAAAGGAATTGGAATATAAAGGAATCACAAAGGTATGGTGAAATCCATGAAACATGGAATTTGAAGGGATTCCAACAGAATTCTTTTGGCAACCAAACACGACATGGAATGGAATCCCGAATTCCAATTCCGCTGAATAAAACATGCATACAGTACCTTTCTTTCATACGATACAAAACTTTTGCAGATTCTTCTTTTGTCTTCCCTTCAACTACCCCTCTTGCGTAATTTTTCAATTTCAAAATCATTTCCTCTTTTTCTTCTTCATCCATTTCAAAACCAGAAAGTGCAAAAGAGAATTCGGAAACAGCTTTTTCAGTTACTTGATGAAGAAGTTTCCTTATTGCAGCCCATGTATCATCACTACCACCTTCTAAAAGAGCTTCAACTGGACCATATAATCCCTCTTTCAATTTTGTCTACAAAAAAAAATGCATAAATTCACCAACAAGATTTTATAACACTTGTATAATTTACAAACTAATATTATTTACCTCATATAGTGCATTAAGTTCAGATAGTTTAGCTGTTCTAACTTCAAGAATATGTGAATCTAAATCGCGTGAAAATTTATCTCTTATTTTAGACGAATCCCACTTTGCTTGTTTGATAATGGCATCTGTGTTTGAATGAACATTAGTCAAATATATCTAATATACATAAAAGGGTAAATCTGGAAATATACCTTCACATTGTTCTTCAAATAGTCTTGTGAATTTTGCAGTGTTGTCACGTGCAGCAACTGCAAACCCTTGTCCACCATTCAATGCATCAATAAGAGCTTTTTTGAAGTTTTCCAATGTCCCAGATTTTATATGTTCCAACATTAATTGGTAGGCTGGTTGAACAAGCTGAACATAATTTTAAAAATAATATAAATATAAATAAATTAATCACATGTAGCAAACTATAAACGATAATCATATCAAGTTATCAACAAACAATAAGAAATACAAAAAGCATTACTTGCAACAATTTCTCTTCCAATTGCTTTCTCTTTGCAGATCTAACACTATCTTCAAAGTATGTTGCCTCTTCATCATAACTGAAACCAAAATATTTAAAAAATAAAAATAAAAATTGAATCTTAATGCCTTCACACGAGGTTAAAAAGGGATTTTTTTTTATTACCTGGATAAAGATTTGTTAAGTAGTGAACTAAGCTTCTTTCCAAAGCCTGACACATAACCAGATTGTACAGCTTCTTCTAATTCAAGCCAATTCTGCAAAATTTATTTAATTCAAATATCTAAAAAAAAAAAGAAGGTTTTAAAATAACTCATTACCAAAATATGTACCTCATTTGTAACAAAAGAAGAATATTTCTCATTAGCAATTTCTTCACATCGTACAGTTGCCACCATCACCTGAAAATTTGACAAAAACTTTTAATATCTTTTTACATTATGTCAAATTTTATAAAAAAATGTGTAATATTATTACCTTGTGAGCTGGAAGATCAAGGTCTTTGTTCTCTTTGATGACTTTCCAGATTTGTTGTGCACTGAAGGAAAAACCTGAAGCAGGAACTACCCCTCGCCTATCACCTGCTAAACCACCAGGGGCAATGGAATGGAAAA